AAGAGCGTCCATTGGTGTCTCAGTTCGTGAAGGCAAACCCCATCCCGAGGGGTGGAGCCCAGCTGGGGGGTAAGGAAATGGGGTGGCAGGCTGACCGCTTGGTCTAGAGGCTTGGTACCGGGGGAACAAAGAGAAGCAGACCCGGAGCTGGAATGAGATGTGGGATCAAGAGAAGCTTTTATTTATTTTCACCCTTTTAAAATGGGAGAGACTGGAGCTTGTGTAAATGCAAAGGGAAGGCACCAGGAGAGGACACTGGAGGAGGAGGACAGAGAGCAAAGTCCATGAAGTGGGGGAGTCAGAACGCAGACAAGGGGTTCAAAGGATTTGCCTGGGTGGGGGAGACCCCTCCCCACTTTAGCAGGGGGAGGCAAATGTTGGTTGGTGGGTGGAGTTCGGGGGTGGGGAGGTCAAGGAAGTTGATCTGATAGCTCCTGTGTTCTCATGACTGAGCAGAGAGGAAGGAGGTGGGTGGGAAGGGGGAAGTCAAAGGTCAGAGGACCATGGAGAAGGCTGGAGACCTTCAGAGGGAAGAACGGGAGAGACAGCGGACTAAGGAAGTCAGAGAGCCTGGTGGGCAGTGCCGGGGGTCAGTGGAAGGGACGGCCGGGGGTGGACACAGGTCTGTGGGGATGGCCAGGGCCTGTCTACCCAGAGGTACGGGGCCTGCTCCAGTTTCGTCTGGTTAGGTGAGGCATTCGGGAGGCTGGTAGAAGTTCAGGAGGAGCAAAGGACCCCAGAATCTGGGGTGGGGGTGAAGGAGCATGAGCAAGCCGAGTGGGAAAAGCAAGGTTTGGTGCAGAGGCAGACCCAAGGAGGGCAAAGAACGACCATGGTATTTGGAGTTACAGAACTCATGGGAAGATGGGGGCTGTGGCTGCAGATGGACGCTTCTGAATCTGTGACCGCAGGACTGACCCTGCGGGGCGGGAGGGGTGCAGGTTCCTCCAGGGGAGTTGGGGAAGGTGAAAATAAGGGTCCTGGGGTGTTACACTGGGACTGTCAGGACTGGAGACCCAGGGTCTTAGAGTAGGAGGTAGTGACCCAGTCTCCAGGCCCCGAAGAGGGTGAGGACAGGAGTCACTTGCCTCCACTGAGCCCGAGTTTCAGGAGGAAACTATAATGGGATGGGGCTCCTATGTTGGGGGCCAGGCCAGTGCACGCAGGATGGGAAGCTCAGCAGTATCCTCATACCCACAGGGCCCAGCCTTGCCGTGGAGCGGGGATACGTCTCCCCATCCTTCCCCTCAACCCAAAAGCTGAACAGCTATATCCTGATGCTTGGGGACTCCAAATAGAGCTGGGGGCTCCAGGTTGCCTGGAAGCTCTGAAGACGAGAGGGCGGGCACTTCTCGGCAGTCCTGGCATCCTCATCTGGAAGGCCTGGGCCCGCCACTCCCCAAGGCCACTGACGGCATCTCTTTATAACAGCTGGGCTGAGTCTGCAGTTCTGGGCAAGAGTCAGAGAGCCCCAGGTGCTTGCAGGCACCACTGTGTTCAGAAGCTTCAAGTAGCCAGCTCCCATAGCTCTACCTGTCTGCACAGGAGAGGGAGCCAGGGCAGAGAAACCCCATGAGCCTGTCCCACTGGAAGGATTTTCAAGGTCATCCAGTTTACCACCCTCCTGGCTCTGCTGGGGCAAATGGAGACCCAGAGCAGCCAAGGGCCTGGCCCAAAGTCACAGAAGCCATGTGCAAATATGGAAGGACACCCCAGAGGCTCACTCCCAGTCCAGAGCTCCCAGAAGATGTTGCATCTGCTTGTTCTGTAGGATTTTCTCTTCTCACTCTTTTCTCTTCGCCTACCCTGAGACAGTGGAGAGAGGAGGGAGCTGGGGCCTCCCTGTGGTGGGGAAGAGTCTAGGAGTGCTATGGGTCTAAGGGAGGGTGTTCCTTTGGGGCAAATAATGGAGAAATGGCCACAGTCCCCCCACTCGGGCCTCCAGCTCTGGCTGCAGAGAGGTGTTCTAAGTGAGCAGCCCTGGCTTAAGTGAGTCAACGTCCAGGCTCCTCCCTTCCCCCATGTCTGCCACAAATAGGCATGGAAGTTAGTTCTTCTGGGTGTCTAACCAAAATCCTTCTCGTTGCAACCCAAGCCTCCTTCTCTAGTTGGAAAGAATATAGTCATTTTGTAATAAGTCTGTTCTCTGGGAAAGGAGGGTAGGGACGTGATCTTCAGAGCCTCCTCCTCACCTGCATCAACCCCAACAGGATGCAGGCGGGCCTGTGCATAATGGGGTGTTTGGCTGAGAGGACCTTGTTCCCCCATTCTTCCTCCCAATTAATTCTCTCTAACGAGGCGTTGCTTCTGCCATGTGGGGATCATGTCTCACATCCCAGAAGCCAATGTGATTTGCCACAATAAGTCTGGACCTGCTTGGGCTGACCCAACCTTGCCAAGAGCCACCAAGGTTGTCAACAGGAGTAATCACTGGAACGCTAATTAATTAATTATGTGACTTGGAGATGGAATTTAGGAACTGGTTCCTAGAATGACTGGCCTGCAGTGACTGGTGTGGGGTTTCCAACCCACTAACCCCAGAGGTTGAAGAAAAAACTTCAATCCCCGGGAGAGAGTTTTGGGGGTGTTTTTTAAGATTTTTTTTTTTTTGATGTGGACTATTTTTTCAAGTCTTTATTGAATTTGTTACAATATTGCTTCTGTTTTATGTTTTGGTTTTGTTGGCCGTGATGCATGTAGGATCTTGGCTCCCGGACCAGGGATCGAACCTGCACCCCCTGCAATGCAAGGCGAAGTCTTAACCACTGGCCTGCCAGGGAAGTTCCCCTGGGAGAGAGTTTTGTCTGCGCTTTTCAAATTAGTATTTCTGCCTATTAAAATGGTGCTAATTTTAAAATTAAAATTGCAAATAATAATAATACCTACCATTTGCCGAACATCTACTAGGCCAGGTAGCATGCCAGGAACTCTGCATGCCTTGTATTAAATCTTCCTAATGCCCCTCAAGTCCAAGGTATTACTGTTAATCAAAGGGTGTTGCCTAGACAGTTAGATGTTTGTGTCTCAGGCTCTGGGGCGAGATTTTGGCTGGGGAACAGGGAACATTTGATGTCCGCATGGCGGGGACTGAAGTCCTGGAAGGGTTGAGGTCTCTGTAGGAGGAAGAAAAGCTGTTAAAAGAGGGCAGGAGCAGGCAGGGGAGAACCCCAACGAGCAGTTTCATGGACGCTGAGGACAAGGGCATTTCAAGGAGGAGGGGGCTCCCTGCAAGTGAGCTGCTGCTGAGGGCACTAGGAGTTGACAAGACTTGGCAACCAGGCGGTGTGGCTGGGCGAGGCAGTCTAGGAGGCAAAATGGCAGTCAGGTTTCTCTCTTTGTTCAGAGAAATGAACTCAGGGACGGGAAGCCACTGGAGAACAGCAAAGAAAATTTCACTCATTGGTGTTCTGTGAGATGGGGGGTTGGGGGCCTGGAGGAAAGGCAGTAATGGGGAAGCAATCACACAGCCCAGGGTAGAAAGGCATGGCCTCCAAGAGGTCCTGAGGTCCAGTAAGTACAAGGGCCTGGTTGACTGTGGTGGTAAAATGCAGA